GGCAATATGCTGACTCTCTGTAAACCGCTTAGAGAGGGCTGAAAGCCCTATGAAGCGGTATATAAGTCTACTGCTATTGCTATTGCTATTACAAAAGGCAAGGATGCATGTGTGCACTGCACACATGTGGACACGTACTGCACATGTTCATGTGGACGCCAGGCCCTGTTGCACTGTACCGGTTGCACCAGGATCCGGAACCTTCCACTGGCAGAAGTGTTGTGCGTGCAGAGCACGCCCGAACCAGTAGTAAAAAAATTAGCAACCCACCTCTGCCTTGCACACTTTAAAATGGGTGGATGTCAATTCCCAGAATTCCTGGAAATGGCTGGCTGGGGATTTCTGGGAGTTGAAGTCCACTCATGGTGAGAAACGCTGTCTTAGCTTATTACCTTTAAGACTCTGAACTATTTTGGGAATGAATGGGGTAGAGAGATTCTGCAGGATAGAGTTAAAAATGAAGAGTTGCTTCTCCACATTTCCAGGAACCTCCAATGTTTGGAAGAATCTGAAGGTCAAGCAAGAGATTATTTGTGATATATTGGCTTCTCGGAGAATGTTTGCTCAGAAATTAGTAGACAATAAACTAGCACTGCAAAACTTCCTGCTAATCAAGTTGAAAAAACACATAATGCTTATCCTCACAAAAATTGTGCTATGCTTTTCCTCCTCTTCAAAGAAATTAAAGCTATGAATATATTTCAAACCAACTGCCCTTTCCTTAGAGTAGGGAAATTTGGGGACAACCCTCAACCCTTTGGATGAAACTGTCCACACATCCCCTCTTAGAAAGCGCTTCTTGCTTTTGTCTCAAACACCCAAGTGCATTTTTGAAACTATGTGTAAGTGTTGCTTAACAGTGAAATGTAGATGTTAAGAAATAAAGGATTTTATTTTCACAGTTCAGAGCTAGGAAGATTTTATTTGTACCTCACTCAAATTCAGTGAAGTCACATTTCCTTGATTTATTTGGAAACTTCAAGAAAGTTTGAAAACAGCATTTTCCTTCCCAAAACAAACTAAATGAAGAAAATTAATCCTATTGCCCAGTACCTGGTGTTTCCTGAAGCAAATCATAGCCATTCATGTTCCAGATGGACCTGCAGATTCCCCAGAAGAAGAAAAGAGGACTAGAGGGACATCATGGACAGAAAGAGGCTTCGACACAGCCAGCACCTCAAGGAGTCTGAGCAAGGCGCCATATTTAGTCTGACTAAGCAACACAAAGTCAGCTGAAGTGTGGCTGGAGGGGGGGGGGCAGGTTGGTGGAGGGATAAACTAATCCCTTAATGCTAGTCACAATGCGATTTGATTGGAAGTAGGAGTTCATTCAGTAAAGTCGCAGGCTGTGTAAGGAGTTAGATTTCACCAAAACCTGATCGGGTTTCATAAGGCAGGTCTCAGACGGCATTTGAAAGCCCAGATTGTATGAAATGTCCGATCCTTGCCCAAACCAATTGTTCTTTGCCTATCCATTTTTTTTTTTTTTGCAGACGCTTCGAATGTGGGAGTGAATTGGAGGAGAGGCAAAGCTAATGGCAGCATCAACCAAAATAGAATCTTTTGTATTTCATTGCCCTCTACCTGCTTTTTCCCCATAGCTCTGCAAGGGCATTAAGACAGGAAGGAGAGAATTATGGATTTTGTAAGATCAAAAGCAAACTACTAGATGGCTGCTACATGCACTCTGAGCACTTAATTGATGAGATGCTGTTTTGACCTTAGCTTTTGAGTTAACTTTTGAGATCAACTTGGCAGGAAGCTAGTAAAAGTTAGTTTTGCCACTAGGTGGCTATCCAGGATAGTGAATAACAAAGCACAACCAGAAACTTCAGAGGACATTCTAAATCCTGTCTTCAGCAATTGGAGATACATGTCACTTCTGCTCTTTCTATTCATTTCTGGAGCTAAAGCATCTTTGAGTTCCAATTTGGAGCTTTTTGCAAGCCAGAATATACGACTTTTTGCTAGCAGAAAATACTACTTCAGCAACAGAGTGGTCAACACCTAGAATGTTCTGATTCCGTTGTTACATCCTCAAACCTCCACAGCTTCAACCTTAAGCTGTCTACTGTGGATCTCACCCCATTCCTAAGAGGTTCGTAAAGGGGGTGTGCATAAGCACACCAGCGTGCCTACTGTCCCTGTCCTACTGTCCCCATTCATTTGTACTCATTTCCTTGATCATGTTCATATTTATATTTATACCTGCTATCTTGTACATATTTGATAAACTAATAAATACAAAATACAATACACTTTTTCAAGCTAACTCAAAAGGGAGAACAAAATAGCCAGTCTCATTTTTGCACCTCTTTGCTTGTGTAGGTGAAGAAGGTAACTTGCCACTTCCATTTTATCCAAAGCAACAAGCTAGAAAGGGCAAGAAATGTTGGAATTTAACTCCCTGTGCACTTGGCTTCTGTATCTGTAAAAGTATTGATCAGGGAGGCAAAAAAAAAAAAATGTATAGTTACATGGCTAGCAGAAAAACTGCAGTTTTATCTCCTTTCTTTGCTTAAAGCGGTATATCTCAACTTCAGTCACTTTCAAACTTCCAATCCCAGATTGCAATCCCGTCCTTTGCATGTTTCTATGTAATAAGTCTCTGGTTACATAAACAGGCTCCCCCAGGACTTTTGTCACTTACAGGTAATCTTCAATTTACAATTGGGAACAGAATTTCCATTGCGAAGAAAAGTGTTTATTAAGTGAGTTGGGGCTCATTTTATAACCATTTTGCCATGTTTGTTAAGTGAACCCCTTCAGTTCAGTGGTGGGATTCACTTACCTTCCCTACCGGTTTACAAATGTGAGCGTGGTACGTCGGGGTGGGTGGGTGGAGCCTCCTGCAACTGCCGCTACCAGTTCGCCAGAACCAGAGAGAACTGGCTGAATACCACCTCTGCTTCAGTTGATAAATTGCACAAACATTAAGTGAATCCAGTTTCCCCCATTGACTTTGTTTGTTGGAAGTCAACTGGGAAGGTTGCAAAGGGTGATTGTGTGACTCCGAGATGTTGCAAGCATCATAAATACATCCTGGTCGTCCAGTATCTAAATTTTGGCGACATGGTTGTGAGGATGCTGTGACAGTTGTAAGTGCAAGGACTGGTCATAGGTCACTTTTTCAGTTGTAACTTTGAACAGTCACTAAATGAATAGTTGTACGTCTAGAATAGGGGTGTCAAACTCGCAGCATCATGGTGACGTCACATAACGTATCGTGACTTTTTTCCTCTTCGCTAAACTGGGTGTGGGCGTGGCCAGTGCGTGACGCAACTGGCCTGCGGGCGGTGAGTTTGACACCCCTAATCTAGAACTACCAGTATTGCCTCTCTCAGTTCAGTTTCCTTTTCTTTTCTGATTCCAACTTCTACCATTCACTTCTCTGATTTTTCTCCATAATGAAGAGGGGCACCACAGCCTCTTTATTATATAACATTTCCCCCTTGAGGCCTCCTTTCTATGTACAAAGATGTCTGCTAGCCAACAGAAAACAGATAGGCAACCTAGAATAAGTCTTTTTTCCCACCAAAGGTTCAGTGCAATGAAGATTATATCGGCTTGTAATGCAATAATTTGTGATAAAGTTAATCCTGATCTTCTTAAATTCAGAGAACCTTTATCTGCAGAGTCATTGCGTGATTGCTAGCATCTAAAAAACACAAAAGCTATAGGCATGTTGTGATCTTTCTAATCTAGTGTTAGCTGATCTAGACATGAAATGAATTCTGATGGTCAGTAGCATTAAAATCAAGTTTTCTTGACAAAGAATTTTCAGGTTTTAAACATAACCGATCTCTTTCTAAAAACATACAAGATAAAGTTTTTCTGAGGTCTATATTTGACTCAAGGACAATTTCCTGATCCAGAAAGTTCTGTGCAAGAAAGAGCATTTTTAAATCAGGGAACAAATCTTAAAACACATTTTCCTATAAGGAGAAGCAACTCAATATTTCCTTGAGTTTAAAAAGAGGGCATTTCATATATAAAGCAACTCCCTTTTATTGCTGGGATCAATGGAGAAGGTAGTTCTTACAAAATTTTAAGGATATCACTGACTTCAAACTGGGTTGAAATACTCTTGAAAAACCATATATATTAAAATATGCATTCTCATTACAAATGCTTCTTTTTACTCTCTGTGAATATGTTTTGATGTTAAAAGGGAAATAAGTCAGAGGGCTTAAAGACTTCAGAAATATGCTAGAGCTAATACAATTTCTATCCTTTTCCTACTTAAATGGAAGAAGAATGAATGTTTTAAACTGCTAAAATATTTTTGAAAGTAAGCATATTTAAGCTTTTAAAAAAAGAAAAAAATATTGAAAAAAATGCAAAAAGAGTCAAAAAAGAGAAGATAAAGCACAAGGTTTATAAACAGAATTTACAAGCATCATATATTTAGGTTAAAATTTCCAATGCTTCAATGTTTATTTTAAATGATATGGTATATGTAAATCATTTAACAACTACCGTACTAATTATTCTTAAAATCTTAGTAAAATATGAATATCAATGGCAAATAGCAAATCTTACAACTTACAATAAATCTATATATGAATGTGCCAGTTTTAAAATGTTAATTGTATTATTTGTATCAATAAAATCTTTGATTGTATTATTTCTATCAATAAAAATAGTTTTTAAGGTGCCATAAGGCATGGTTTTATGAAAGAATCCTCCTCTCCTTATTAGGCCCATATATAAAAATATTAAGTGCCCATATAAAAATGGGCACTTAAAATTAAATATACACACAGCATCAATAACAATATGATTTAAGAAAAGATAAAATCATACAATATGTTATTACAATAGAACTAATTCTATTGTCAATGTGTCAGCATTCCAAGTAATGCACCCATTGAAAGCAGAACTCCAAGGCAGGTAGATTCGTCATATAGGCACAGCCGGTGAAAATCAACTTTGAAAATTCCCACTGTTTTCACCTAATTACAAGAATTAAACTCTCCCCCTCACCAGTATCACCAGTCACATGGTCCTTGAGACAACACAAGATGGTTTCAGCCAGATTTGCTTCAAGGTTTACACGTGACCCGACAAAAGCACGCATGACAAAAGTGCGCCAACAAAACCACATCGCTAAAACCGCGACATCATCAACGCGCTGACAACAGCATGCCAACAACAGAGCGTCGACAGAAGGACAATTTAAGTTAAGGTAAGGATTAGGGTTAGGGTTAGGTTTAGGTTTAGGATTAGGGTTAGGGTTAGGGTTAGCGTTAGGTTTAGCGTTAGCGTTAGCGTTACGTTTAGGGTTAGAGTTAGCGTTAGGGTTAGTGTTAGGTTTAGGGTTAGGTTTAGGTTTAGGGTTAGGTTTAGGTTTTCGGCGCGATTCAGCGCTCATTCGTCGGCGTGGTTTAGAACTCGCAGTTTTGTCACCACGGTTTAGTCAGGCGTGCTTTTGTTGGTCGCCCTTTTGTTGGTGAATCGGTTTACACAATGGATCTGTAATTGATCCCCAATGACATCTAAAAGAGCCACAGGTTGGCCATTTTCCCCAGAAGACCTTAAGCATGGTGACTCTCATGGAATGGAATGGAATAGAGAATAGAATAGAATAGAATAGAATGGAATGGAATAGAATAATAGAGTTGGAAGGGACCTTGGTGGTCTTCTAGTTCAACCCCGTGCTCAAGACCCTATACCATTTCATTTCTTTGCTTTGAGGATGTCACAGCATCTCCTAAGAGACAGTCTTCCATCTAGCTCTTTCCCATTACACCATCTGATAGGTGGCATTCTTCACAGGAGATCTCTATCCAGCCACATAAGGCAGACAGAATAGAAGCATCTTGTACTTGAGAGCAACTATGTTAATGTATTGAATGTAGTATATTGAATGTAACCTTACATAAAATCACTTTTTTAAAAGTCCATCCCCAGAATGAGTTATTTGTCAGTTGCATATCCTGGTTTAGTTTTCCCTCCATGTTTTCAGAGTTTCCCTTGACTCATTGCAACCACATTGTATATTGCATTGTTGTTCTGTTTCACAATCTGAAATATGGTTTGGCAAAAGGAAGTTTAACACAGTGAATGTACTTCCTTATTTTGGATGATGTATTGTAATGTTGACAGGAGATAAGACAGTTCCTTCACTGGTAGAAATACTTTATTGAGTTATCTAAGGAGTGTCACCTAAAATTAAACACTTCATTGCAGATATTTTATGTACAGTATGTAATAGAAGCACTGCTGCACACATCCATAGTGTTTTGTAGTTGTGAAATCATTACACAGCATTGGGATGTCTACAGGGACATCCCTTTATACTTGCCAAGCTTCTTTCCCACCAATATTCATATGTATGTATGTATCAGGGGTGGGTTTCTCGCCCCGTTCCAACTGGTTCGGTTGGAACGGGGCCGGCGGCGTCCTCGTGCACGCGCGCAGTGCACACATGCGTACTAGCGTCTGTGCGATGCTCCAGCTGCTCCTGGAGGATCGCGCAGGCGCTGTATGCGTCCTGCGCATGTGTGGAAGCGCAGAACTCATCAAAACCGGGTAAGGAACGCGGGCGGGCGAGTGGGCCCTTCGCCGTTCCCGGA